ATGGGTCAGAGGCGTATCGGCCACAACCCAGCCTGGAGTCACGTATGCTTAAAACCATCAGTTTACAGTGCAATCCTAAAAAAGAGCTACACCCTTCTTAAACTCATTTACTTTAATTGGTTTAGAAGGGTGTGACTGTGTTTAGGACTGCATTGTTAGGCAAGTATGGGAAAATGATGGCTGCACACAAAATTACAGCACTTGTTGTTGTCTGTTTTCATGTATGAGAGCAGGTATTCATTTTAACTGAATTGTTTGACCCCGTGGCACCTACATTTAAGTTAGAGAAGATTATAGACCTTGGGGCCTTTTTGTCCTTTCAAAGAACTGTTCGGATAAAAAGCACTGCTCCTACAGTTGAATATATAACACAAAATGTGAGATTAAGAATCACAACTAGAGGAATATCCAAAACATCTGCAAGTGGATCATGTCCTAGGTTTACAGATGCTGTTATTTTATTTTTATATTTTATACATTCGGCTTATATACCGCCCTGACCCCGAAGGGTCTCTGGGTGGTTTAGATAGAAGTCTAAGTCTACTTTCCCTATCTACGGCCACATGGTACAGGGGTGGGGCTGCCTACCGGGACCCAGGTGGTGGGGCTTGCTGTTCTCTGGCTCGGCTCCTTCTTCTTCCGGTGGTCTTCGGGGTCGGTACTTCCGTCCTGGCGGCCAGGGATAGGTCTTCCATTTTGGTGGCTTTCTTTTGGCGGGCCCATCTGGTGCGCGGTTCACATCAGCATGGCTCTGGCTAATGTCCATTTCGGCTCTGCCGTGCCTGCGCCTCCACGTCACCGCGCCTTCTATCTCCACCTCTGCCGTCATCCGTTCCACCACTTGATGTTGCACTTGCTGGCCACCAGGGCTCGCCCCGCCGATCTTGCTGCTGCCGCTCGTCGCTCTGCCGCCACCGATGCTCCCACCACACCTCGCAACAGAGGAGGGTGCCCCCTGCTACCTAGGGCAGGTACCCATTTGTCTACTCGCTGTTGTTACTGCTTTCGAACCACTGGGTGGGTGGGAGCTGGGACTAGGGCCGGGAGTTCACCCCGGCCGTGGTGGGTCTCGAACAGCCATAGTGGCTGTTCATTGTTATTACAGCAGGCGTTTTACCACCTGCGCCACTGCTCCCTACTATATTCTCCACCTTATAACTGTGACAGCCCTGATGATACTCGGTGTCTGTCTACCTGGTGGTGGGGTAGCCAGGTCCCCCTGGCCAATGGTGGGGGATGAAGGGCCTGGGTTGCCAGACCCAGGTTGGGAAATGCCTGGAGATTTGGAGGTGGGGCCTGGGGAGGACAAAGGGAAGTCCTGCCTCACCAACCTTCTAGAGCTCTTTAAGAAAGTGAACAAGCATGTAGACCAGTGTTGGCGAACCTATGGCACGTGTGCCAGAGAGGGCACGCAGAGCCCTGTCTGTGGGCACGCTCACCGTCGCCCAGCACAGATCTATGGAACGCCCCCACCTGCCCTCCGCTTTTCTCTGCTTGCATGCCAAGGCGCCTAGGCAGAAAAAGACCTCCAGAGAGCCCCACCCACCTGCCGCCGCCACCACCACCACCTTTCTCAGATTCAGTTTTCATGAATGCCCCCCACCTTTCTCTGCCCGTGCGCCAGGCGCGTGAGCAGAGAAAGTCCTCTGGAGTCGTCCCCACCCCACCCCCTGCCTTTCTCTGCCTGCTCGCCGCCTTTCTCTGCCCGCCTGCTTTCTTCTTTCCCTCCCTCCCTCTCTTCCTTCCTTCCTCCCTATCTCTCTCTCTCTTTCCCATTCTTTGCCATCTTTCCCTTCCACCCCATCTCTTTCCCCCCTTTCTTTTCTTCTTTCCCAAAGTTTTTTGCCTTTTCCCTCCCTCCCTCTTTCTTTTCCTTCCTTCCTTGCTCCCCATCTCTCTCTCTCTCTCTTTTTCTGTCTTTCTCTCTCTCTCTTTTATTCTCTCTCTCTCTTTCTCTCTTTCTCTCCAGCTTGCCATACTTCCCTTGATGTCAGGCTGTATGTACAGAAAAGGGCAACTTGAATGATAAAAGGGGTTGGAACACTTTCCCTATGAAGAAAGGTTGAAGCGCTTGGGGCTCTTTAGCTTGGAGAAATGAGGGCTGAAGGGCAACATGATTGAGGTTTATAAGATTATGCATGGGACAGAGCAGGCTGAGAAAGAGGTACTTTTCTCCCTTTCCCACAATACAAGAACTCTGGGCACTCAATGAAATTGCTGAGCAGTCAGGTTAGAACGGATAAAAGGAAGTCCTTCTTTACCCAAAGAGTGATGAACACATGGAATTCACTGCCACAGGAGGTGGCGGCGGCTACAAGCATGGACAGCTTCAAGAGGGAATTGGATAAATATCTGGAGCAGAGATCCATTAGTGGCTATTAGCCACAAGGTATAGACAGGAACTCTCTGTCTGGGGCAAGGGATGCTCTGTATTCTTGGTGCTGGGGGCGGGTAGGTGGGTGATCGAGCTCAACAAGTATGATCTTTGCTTTGGCTACCTGTTGCAGTGCTTGGCTGGGGCACTAGCAAAGATCTGGCCTCACAGGCAGCGCCCTGCTTGGGCGGTTGGAGATGAGGTCACTGGTTGAGGTGTGAGGAAGGATGGTGCTGGGTGCTGGTGGCAAGGAAGGCAAGGCTTGTCCAGCATGGGTAGGGAAAAGAGCTGCGTTGGCATGTGCCATAGGAAGGAAGGAAGGAAGGGGAGGCTGAGGCCAGAGTGATTGCAGTGGCAGCAGCCCCCGACTTACCAATGAGGTTGCTGTGAAAATGAGCTGCTACAGAGAAGGTTATTCCACCAAGCTGAAGCCACAGTCGGAGTGGCTCCACCTGCTCACTCCCCCAAGCAGCTTCCTGTTCCCTCCCTTGCACAGTTGCAAGCACGGGCTGGATAAAAGCCCTGGACGGGTGGTATGATTAACACCTGCCTTAGATTATATAGTGATTGTAGACAATACAGCTGAGTGATAGCAGAAGATGCAGCTAACCAGAATTTGTCTTCTCTACTTTTATTAAAGATACAGCAGGATTGAAACTTTATACCTCTAGCTCACCCTTCCAGCTTTCCAACTTCTCTTACTTGGCCACAGGTGTACATATTGCATCTGTCCCATGTCGTATGTCAGGTCTTGCCCCAGCCCTAGTTGGTTCCTTCAGCTCTGTGTCTTTGAAACCAGTTGAGTCCTCAGATCTCTGAATGAATTTATGAAAATTAGTACTGAGAGGATAGAATATGAAAGCAGGCAAACCACTTTAAACTCTGATTTGTCTGTTTTATGTTTAGATTCTCAAATCCTGGTTGGGGTCCTAACAGTGTTGGTACAAACAGTGATTTGCCATGATGTCGAACTAAGGCAAAGTGTAACTTAGCCTTAAGAGTTCAGTTTTATACTAGATGGTTAGGATATTGCCCTATCTGAAATATCTGTGTGTACTCTGAGATATACCTGGAGCTGCGGTGGCTCAAGTGGTTAAGACGCTGAACTGCAGGCTGTGGAAGGTCAGTAGTTCAGCAGTTCAAGACCCGGGTGCCGCAAGACGGGGTGAGCTCCTGTCTCTAGTTCCAGCTCCTGCCAACCTAGCAGTTCGAAAGCAAGAAATTGCAAGTAGATAAATAGGTACCACTTCGGTGGGAAGGTAACAGCGTTCCGTGCGCCTTGGTGTCTAGTCATGCCGGCCACATGACCACGGAAACGTCTTTGGACAGCGCTGGCTCTTCGGCTTTGAAACGGAGATGAGCACTGCAACCCTAGAGTCGGATTCGACTAGCTTTCGAGCAAGGGAACCTTTACCTTTACCTTACTCAGGACACCATGAGCATGTGTGTCAGGAATGGCAGGCTAATGATTTGACCTTCAGATATACCCCCTTCATACATGACCCCCTGATACAATGTGTAAGCACCTGAAGACACGGGCAAAAAGCAGCGGTTACATTCCCAGCAGGAAACTAGGAACAGGCAGAGTATAGTCTTCAAGGACACTGGACAGATAACAGCGCACAGCTGAAGGGAAAAGGGGGGAAGGGAGGAGGGAGACAAGGAGAGAAACCCACAAATTCCACACCATGGCAGCCTTAGCTGACACTCAGACTCCTTAGGGCAGAGAAGAATGGGGTATAAAACCAACTCTTCTTCTTCCTTATATCCCACTGAAATCCCTCCCCTCCCCAAACCCCACCTTCCTCAGGCTCCACCCCCCAAATCTCCAGGTATTCCTCAGCCTGGAGCTGGCAACTCTAAGTCCACCCTCCAAAGCAGCCATTTTCTCCAGGAGAACTGATCTCTGCAGAAGAGGGATAAGTTGTAATTCTGGGAACTCACCAAGAATTGGTAAACCTATTTGTGGGACAAGGTAAGACAATACATATAAAGATGGGAATTGCACATCAACTGTGGGAGCAGAGGAAGACATCGGCAAAACAAGGCAAATGTGCTGCTAGCCATACGAATAAAAACCACTCCGAAAGAATGCAGATATTCATTAGTGCCGATTCAGCCTCGGCCTCGGCCACTGACTCATGGTGAGGCCTCTGGGCGGCTCCCACAGGGTCCTCCCTTAGAACACAGCGATTCTTCGTTGACACAGAGCTCCAAATTAAATCAGACCAATGCAATAGACTTGGTAGCAGCACAGCACTCATCATAATAATTAAAGTTCGTGTTTGGGCTACGGGACGATAAGCTCTGTCACAAGCTCATCGGCCAGGAGGACCCTAACCTCCAAAAGGCAATTTGAGAGGCTGCGGCATTCAAGAAATCCCAGGAGGTTGGCCACCAGAAGACTGAGCGCTGTGCTGCTGCAGTGCACCGGGCCGCCATTTCCTCAGCCTCTGACATGTCCGACAGCGAGGAGGTCCTGCAGACGCACCCTCTAGTCCACCGAGACACCCACCCATCTGCTTTGTCAGGTCCACAACCAGGCTGTGTTGCTGAGACTGCCTCACCGACACTCTGCACCAGCTGTGGGGACCTCCACGAACCATGCCTTTGCTGCTTCAGGGACATGACGTGTCAGAGTTGCGGGAAGGCCGGTCACATCGCATACGCCTGCCACTCGAAAGGAACCCAGAGGAAACAGGCGACTCACCAGGAGTCCTTGCACCCCAAAGAGCTACACACCATGTCTGTGCAGCCGCTACAGGTACTTCACTTGCCCGAGGACACCCCCCCCCCAAAAAAAATAAAGGTGACTGTGCTAATCGAGGGTGCCCCTTGCATGATGGAGTTGGACACGGGGTCTTCCATGTCCATAATTTTGGCAGAGACTCTCAGGAGGCTATGCCCGGGGGGAGGGCCTCGCCTTAAACCAGCCGGCATTGTCCTCAGAGACTTTCAAGAAAATGTGGTGGCCATGAAAGGGGTGGGCAAGTTGCAGCAATTTGACAGGTTGTCGGACTTATTAGTAGCTGAGGGCCGGTGCATGAGTTTGTTGGGGCTGGCATGGTCCCTTAGAATTCAGGAACCAAGGGCTTTCTGGCAGGTATGCAATGAATTTCCATCTGTCTTTGATAGAACGCTTGGCTGTTACACCACCACCCCTGTCTTTCTCCAGCTTAACCCCAAGGTACGGCCTAAAGGCTCAAGGGTCAATGCATCCCTGTTGCACTGAAACCTAAGACTGAGGAGGAGTTAGATCACTTGGTGGCCCAAGGGGTTTTGGAGCCGGTATCCCACGTGCTCTCGGAGACGCCAATAGTCACTCCGATTAAACCCAATGGGGACGTCCACATTTGCGCAGACTACAAATACACAATTAACAAGGTGCTGCAGGACCACACCTACCTGGTGCCGGTCATCAGCCATGTCCTGGCCATGCTAGCTGGTGTGAGAATTTTGGGGAAATTGGACTTAACACAGGCCTACTAACAGTTGCCAGTAGACGATGCCACAGTGGAGGCCCAAACCATAGTGACACTGTTGCCCTGCAAGGCGCTTAAGCAAACATATGCTTAAGGGACTGTATTGCTTGGTGACCCAATGTGATGCCAGTTGAGAATGCACACCTAAGAGAAGAAAGTCTTCCTTGGCATTGCTGTTCCAGTTGGTTCTTCAAGGTTATCTGCCCTCTTGCCTGCTGTGAGAACCTGCAAGACTACACGTAACTGAGAGGTTCTACACACGGTTGCTTGGAAACTAATCTCTCTCCCATCAACAGGCTTGGCTAAGCCCATCAAGAAACAATACCCCAAGCTCGGTGACTCTTCATCCAGGTGTCACTCTCCAGGCCAAGTTACTAGCTCTCAGTATTGACCACTCCTTAGTTCCCCTCCCCTCTTCCTGCCAGCCAATAGCATGTGTTTGGGATGGACTAGTAGGAGTGGGAGAAGACTCTTGAGAGTCCCTTGGACTCCAGGAAGATCAAATCAGTCAATCCTAAAAGAAATCAACCCTGACTGCTCCCTGGAAGGCCAGATAATGAAACTGAAACTCAAATACTTTGGCCACCCAATGAGAAGGGAGCACTCCCTGGAGAAGACCCTGATGCTGGGAAAGATTGAAGGTCAAAGAAGACGGGGACGGCAAAGGATGAGATGGTTAGACAGTGTCATCGATGCAACGAACATGAAACTGAGCACACTTCAGAGGACGGCGGAAGACAGGAGGGCCTGGTCCATGGGGTCGCGAAGAGTCGGACTCGACTGTGCGACTGAACAACAACAACAACAAAGTAGGAGGTGGGCCAAGACATGTGACCAGCCTGGCACACCCCCCAAGCCCCCCCTTAAAAGGGACACCCAGACATGTCCTCCCTCTCTTGCTCTCCCCCCCCCACGACCTCTATAATCTCTGCTTCTTTAAACTTGTAGCCATCTGGTCACTCCATCCTGCCTCAACACTCTGGAACTACATATCGGGTTACCCTAGATAGGTAGGTAGCTACCTGTCTAGGGTAACCCGATATGACATTACACTGATTGCTTTCCCCCTGCTAGGGGGAATGAATCTTCTCAATAAATTGGAATTCCATAGCACTTTTGAGATTTTATTCCAGTTTAAGCTTTTGAGGACTGGAGCACCGTCAACTCCATGGTGTTGGTCAAGCATTTACAGAGATTTCCGTTCCTGCAAAGCTAGTTGATGTAGAAAAAAGATTTGGAAACAGTCATTAGGTCTGTTCTCTTGAGGATCAGCTGAACCTGACAGAGTGGTTCTGTATGTACTCTTAATGCATGCAAATAGCATACTTAAAATAGGTTTCTCGAGTTAAATATTTACCATAGTGTTCATTTTGTAAACATTGTGTTACAGTCACTAGGATGTAAAGCATTACTCAGTATGAAGCATATCTGAAGATGTTCAGCGTGCCTGAACTAGTTACCGAACCATTTTTTTTAATAAAGTTTGCATCTCAGCCAGGAGGACCATACTGGAGAGCTAAATGGCCTCTCTAAAGCTACTCTGGGTATCTGAGAGAGTCAGCAGGGGTGTGCACATGAACTTAACCCTTTGCAAACCTTCTGGCTCTCCACTGCAAATGTTAGGAGAACCATCAGGGAGAGGAAGGGTTACATTTCCCCCCCTAGCTGGGCTGTGTGACCAGAAATAAGCCTGATTAAGAAGAAAGTGGACATTTCCAGTGGAGGGGGCGGGGTTCAGGAAGAATTAAGCATTCCATTCTCTCCCACTGGTTCTGCCAAGCCAAATTCCCACCCACCCCACATCCTCAACAAATAAATTTTAGAAACGCAACTTTACCATGCATGTGGTTCCACGTAGAGAGCCCTGATGTCTTAGCTGCACCGGCTAAGTGTGCCATTTGTATAAGCTCTCTGCTCTGTTCTTTTGCCCTATTTAGGTCCTTCATGCTGGAACTTACTATTTTTTTAACAAATGTGTAGGAGAATGGGCGGCCTTTAGGTTACACAAGGAGGTAGAAGATTCACAATTATGTGTCAGCAGCTGCAAACAGCAGAGCAGGAAAAAGGACCTGGAGATTTTTTTGCACCAGAACATCCACACTATGACAGGTCATTGCTAAGGGGGAGACAAGTCTAGGGTGGATTCAGGAGGGCTTTCCCCACATGCCAGAGGGAAGGGCATTTCCAGGATGTGGCTCAAGGCTTAATCCTGGCCATGAGTTAGCACCAGGCAGATGTACAAAGTTAGGACTCTACTCTGCAGTGACTGTTGAGTCATAATAAAGGAGATGGTGCCTTGGAATAGGCTGCAGGGGGTCCTCTTAGTATGCAGCCCCCCAGGGGTCATTTCGTAAAAAAAGAGCTAGGGGAACTCATTAGCATAACTCATTAGCATATGCCACACACCCTGACATCACTGGAAGTGTGTCATAAGGCCACACACCCCGCCCCCAACGGGGCCCGGCGGTGGACCTGCAAGGCCGGTGGGAGTGCAAGGAAGCCCCGCGAAGGCCCTCCCTGGCCCCAGGCAGGCAGGGGTGGGGAGAGGGAGGGAGGAAGCAACTTACCCTCCCTCGTCTCCTGCCTCCTCCTGGCTGAATGAGGGCCGGAAGTGGGGCGGCCGGAAGCAGGGGGCGGGGCTTCGTCATGTGCCCCCCCGTACCTCACCCGGGGGAACTGTGATCCCCCGCGATTCCCCCCGAAATGACCTCTGCAGCCCCCACAAATTAAACTCAGCTTGCAGGAGAAATTCCCAGGAAGATCCTAACTTTTCTAAATCCATTGGCTTAGAATGGTATTACTTCACTTAGGGTTGCCCAGCAGGCCCGTACCCCGGGGGGGGATGGGACATTCGGGGTCGAAACAAACTATTTCAAATACATAAATACAACTGAGCAGAACTTATTGAATTTTTTCCATCCAAAGATGCCTAGTTTGTTATATACCCAGAAGAGTTATGTGTTGGATGTACAAGTATCTATATTTGCTCAGTTAAGCTATAATCCATATTTATTATATAACAATATAAAAACTGTGACGTAAATTAGCAAGGTGTGTCTCACTTTTGGTTTACACCGCCTGAGGTTGGCAATCCTAGATCTTTTGCCTGCAGAACGAGGTGCATACTCTTCCACCACTGAGCTAGTATTCCACCTTGTCTGAAAGGGCATAAACTGGGCACTGTAAAGAACAGTGTGCCCAAACAGGAAGATGGGTACCGATCTATTGCTCACCCTGCTATCATGTTTTGGTGAAGGTGTGAATTATGCAGTCTCACCCAGTACATTTTCTCAGGAGAACTTTCACTGAGTTCAGGAGGGCTTTACTCCCCAGTAAATGTGTGTAGGATTGCAGCCACGGGCCTTGATCCCACGCAGATTTACTTGTAACTACAAAAATGAGACATTTGCTTTAGTTTTGTTTTACAAATGCTTGTGTGAAAGATGACTAGTGTAGCAGACATACTGATCGGAAATATTGCTTACCCTACCCTTTCAGTCAAAAAACACCTCCCAAAACAGTTTGCAGACATTAGATACAAGCAGTAATCTAAAATTAAAACCGCTGGTGGCAGCAAAACCATTTCCAGTAAAAGCGGTGGCATCTGAATATTAGCATAATAAAACCATTATTAAAAAAGTCAGAGACTAAAATAGTAAGCAAACAAAAACAGCACTCCCCACCTCTAGTTAACATTCTGAAAATGCCTGAGAAAACAGGAACGTCTTTGCCTAGTGCAGACAGATGGTCCCAAAGGCAAGGCGTCACAATGGAGAAGATGCCGTCTTTGGTGAGTGCAGCAAGATTGCCCACTGATTCCTTTTCTGGAGCTCCCCAAGTGTTTTTATGAAGTGGGCGGGGCCAGGTAGGGCTTCTGCCCGGCAACGCTTCTGACTGTCTACTGGAGATTTGATTGGCTGTGAAGATTTTTTTATAACGTTGCTTTGCCAGCAGCAGGCAGCCCAGCACAAGGACTGACACTGTGTTGCTGAGGTTAAGCCGTGGCAGCCATTTTGTGGCTGTGCCCACAATGCCATGTCAGAATTCCAAATGCGCCTGCAGGCTCAAAAAAGATGGGGGGACCCCTGCAGTAAGGGCGTACACAAAACTACTTTGCAGCATTGTTGTGAGGACAAAATGGGAAAGGGAGAACTGCTTGCACCACCCTGAGCTCCTTGGATGAAAAGGGTCATAAAGATGTCTTAGAGGGCTAGCCCTTGGAAGAGCTTACTGGTGGGCAGGTTCACAGAGGAGCCAGGGGACCTATGGCTCCCTAGGCTGTCGAGGGCTTTGAAGGTGAGCACCAGTGCTTTGAACGATGCCCAGGCCGGCGCAAGCTGCTACCCTGGCTGCTGCAATTGCACCAGCTGAGTTTTCAGAGCAGCCAGCCCCACGCAGAGTGTATTGCTGGTGGTGCACAGTGCCGGCAAGTCACCGCTGACTCATGGCGACCCCATCATGGGGTTTTCTTTTCTTTTTTTTGGAGCCCCCAAAGGGGATTTTTTATTGGTTTTTTTTTTTAACACTACAAAAACTACAACAGAAAAAGGGAGGGGAAAACTACATATAAAGGAGAAAGTAAAGAACCCACTACTGACTAAAAACCCAAGAGAGAGACCCTCCAACTAGCTTTCTGCATTCAGTCTTTTCATCTTTGTACTTCTCCCCCCCCCCTTTCGCTCAACGATTTATGCGCTTGGGAGGCGTCCCTCCCCCGCTCGCTTCTACCGTTCTGCCGCGTAGGATAGGGAGCATCTTTTCTTTTAAAAATCGTTTCTCATTGAACTCATGTTCATAATTGGTCTTCCGACCCCGCTTCATTCATCATTTCTCACACCCGATCTCCTGCGCTTGACCCGGTTAGCTTCACTTGTACCATTCAGTCTCTCGGCTGGATGAACCACTGCAGCAAGGGGGAGCCTCGATTCTCTGGCATTCAGCCATTGAAGAGGCTACCCCCTCAGAGCTCCTTGGCCAGGGTCCCTTCGCTGGGCCCCTGGGGGGTTAACGAGCCTGCTCACCCCCTCCCTCTGCCGGAACACGGAGACACCCCCGGGAGGTCCGGGAGGTGAGTCCGTGAGCACGCCACCATCAACCGGAAGTCCCCCATCATGGGGTTTTCAAGGCAAGAGCCATTCAGAGGTGGTCTGCCTTTGCTGGCCTCCGTGTCACGACCCTGGTATTCCTTGGTGGCCTCCCATCCAAATACTAGCCCAGGCTGACTCCTGCTTGGCTTCTGCGATCGGATGAGATCTGGCTAGCCTGGGCTATCCAGGTCGGGGCACACGCTGTGTCCACATTCAGCTGGATCATGTGACGCTATAGCAATCATTTTTATGTAAGCCGCCCTGAGCCTGCTTTGCGGGGAGGGCGGGGTATCAACTGAACTAGCAAATAAATAAATAAACAAACCATTAGCAGCTGGATGTTCCCGTGTGGTCTAGAGACAATTCAGTTGCCAATGCCTACTGCTAATATCTGTCCTGTCTGAGGCCACGGCAGCCAGCTGAGGGTTGCCCTCCTCCAGGTGGGGCCCCGGGATATCCTGGAACTAGACAACAAAGGTGAGTTCCCCAAATCCCATCATTCCCAGGTTCCCCCCCCCCCCAATCTCCAGGAATTTCACAACCTGGAATTGGTAACCCTATCACATCAGCATTTTCCACTAAAAGGTTACAAATCCAGAGTGGACAAAGATCAGTTCCCCCGGAGAAAACAGATGCTTTGGAGGGTGGGCTCTGTGGCACTGGGCCCCACTCAGGTCCCCCTGTCCTCCCCAGGCTCCACCCCCAAAATGCAGCTCATCTCCAGACTACAGAGGTCAGTTCCCCCGGAGAAAACAGATGCTTTGGAGGGTGGGCTCTGTGGCGTTGCGCCCCACTGAGGTCCCCCTGCCTTTTTCAGGTTCCACCCCCAAATCTCCAGGAGTTTCCCAACCTGGGGCTGGCAACCCTATCTCCCCCCCATTTCCTGCCAGTGGCCAGGGGAGACCTGGAAACTCTAGGTGGGGGGGGGGCTGGTGGGCAATGTTCCCTCTAAGCTGAGTTCGTGTGAGCTAGCTCAGTTTTTTAGCCTCCAGCTCAGGAAGGATATAACCAGCTCAGGAGTTGTTGTTGTTCACTCTTCGGGACCCCATGCTCAGGAGTAGCAGTAGCCAAACAGCTGGCTCACAACCTCCATGCCAGCAGCTCTCAAAGTAGCGTTTTTGCTCACAAAGGGACTCCACAGCTGAGAGGGCGCACAGTTGGTGGGGGAGACGGCAGGGGGGAGTCTGGAGTGCCATCTGGGATTTCTTGCCCAGAAGCACTCAGACCTGCTGCCCCTGGCGGAAACGGCTGACCTAGCACCCCCCCCCCTTGCTGCAACATTTTATTTTAACATGATGAATAAAATATTTTAAGATAAGGTGTTCAAATATTTTCCAAACCATTTCTTAAAAATATGTATGGTATCAGATTGATCTAATTTCTGTGCACTGAGGACAAGCAAGTCCTAGGTTACCGACTGAACTCTCCAATGCAAGAACAAGATG